CAGGGAGGAGTGATAGGGAATGGCAAAGGATACACTGACAAAGGAGATTAATCAGAACTGGCTTTGACAAGCACTGTGGCAATGGGACAATTAAAACAGACTTTCAGGGGGGGGAAAAAGAGGAATGAACTGGGAGGGGGGTAAAGAAAATAGTGAATGAATGAATGGAAATCCAAAATCTCTGTAAATGTTCAGTAAAATTAATAAAACTTAATTAAGAAAAAGGATTAATCTAAAAAAAATAAAAGTCATCTTGCATTGGTAAAAAAAAAAAAAAGATGAAACTTTGTCATCTTTACCTCCAACAAGCACACTGGCTGCCCTTTCTCCAAGACATACCTGTTTATTCTTTTGGCAGTTTATGGGATATTCAATACTCTTCTCCAGTTACTTTTCAAAGCCATCAGTTTTTCTTCTGTCATCTATATTTGTTAATATTCTAGGTCTCAGATGCAGAGCAAATGATTGACAAGTCCATAACCTGAATCAGGTGCACCTTAGACCTTAAAAAATTTGGAAAGGTCCCTGACTGCAGACTTTCCTAGTGTAATACACCTCTTGATATCTTAAGTTCTGGTACCAAGGTAATTTATTGTGGATGCAAGTAAGAAGAAGTCATTGGCAACTTCAATCTTTTCTCCATCTATCATGATGTTGCCTACAGGTCCAGTAGTGAAAATTCTTGTTTGATCTTCTGAGTCAAGCGCTTCAAGTTCCTCACTTTTATCAAGTACTGTGCTGTTTTGGTTACTACTGCTGTGTAATAGGACTTGAGGTCAGGGAGTGCTGTGCCTCCCACTTCATTTTTGTTTTTCAGAAGTGCTTTGCTTATTCAGGGTCTCTGCTCTCCAAATAAACTTGATAATTTCACTTTCAATCTCTTTAAAAAATGAATTTGGTAACTGTATTGTGTTAAACATATAGATTACTTTTAGTAGGAGTTCTTTTCACAATATTGAGTCTTCTGACCCATGACCAGGGAACATTTTTTCATGTATTTAGGTATTTTATTGTGTCTCACAAAAAATGTTCTGTAGTTTTCTTTGTATAGGTCTTTTATGTCTCTAGTTTGGTTCACTCCCAAATATCTCAATTTGTGATTAACTAGAAGGAGAATTGATGTCTTTGAGCTGTGGTGCTAGAGAAGAGTATTGAATATAACATGGACTGCTAAGAGAACAAACAAGTTTGTCCTGGAGAGGGTGAAGACAGGCTGCTCCTTGGAGGCAAGGATTATGAAGCCTCATCAGACATACTTTGGATATGTTGCAAGATGGGATCAGTCCTTGGAGACAGACATCATGCTTGGGAGGGTGGAGGGACAGCACAGGAGAGGAAAACCCTCAATGAGGTGGATTGATTCAGTGACTAGGATAATGGTGATAGGTGTGTCGGAGACTGTAAGATTGGCAAGTGATAGAGAAGGGTTTAGGGCTGTTGTACATAGGGTCGCTATGAGTTGCAGGTGACTTGACAGCACATAACTACAAAACAACATTGTAAATGTTATTGCTTTCTTGGTTTCCTTACCACTGCATTTTTAAGGCATTCTTGCCTTCACCCTAGGGGCCAGTTTCAGGTATATGAAAACTCTAGATAGGAAAATCAATGCTTACACCAAACACTTAAAACAGGCCCAAGGGAGACTGAAGATGTCACAATAATTTCTAGGAGGCAATTTTAATTGTACCTCTTGGGAATCTCAACAGAATCTTTCCTCTTTCTTCACATGTACTCCTTTAAAAATTGCTTCAAGAGTTATACATTTGTTTTCCCATCGACTCTGTGACAAATGTAACTAATATATAAATATCTGATAAATCTTCTCTAGTGAGTCAGACAGAAGAAAGGTCTGGGTGTCTCTGGGTGATCGAGATCTTGATCAAAATACCAAATTGTCAGCTAAGGTCCACCCTTCAATGGTTATTTGGAGGACTGGATTTCTTTCTATTGGCTGACACTATTGCTCAACAGTTAGAGGACCTCAAGGAGGAAAGAGAGAAGCACTGTTTTTTTTATTGCCCAAGATTTGTAATATCACCCAAGGATGCAGTAGTGATCAGAAGAACTCTCAAGACTCAGACCCCTGGGTGGTAAGTTTTCTTTCCAGGTAAGGGGCTGAAAGGCATCTGAGAGGATGTACAATGCCCGTGTATATTTAGTTCTGTCGTGAGGGGTAAGTGATTCTCTCCCTGTCTAGGCTTCTGGATTTTTCCTAAAGCACTCACATGTGGACATTAATTCCAAAGGAATCCTCTTTTGCTATAAATACAGTTTGGCAAACATTCATGGAGTTTATGTTCCCAGACATGTGATTTCATGTACAGTAAACCATATCTCCAGTAATATAAGAAGGTATGTTATAATGAATGAGGACCCAGTTACTCAGTTTTTCCTCGACTTCACATTCCCTTAAATCTCCTTGCTTCATAATTGACAAAAAATGACTCATTATTGGTAAATTTCATAATTTAGTGTAGACGATTATTTTGTTTATGAATAACCCACCTTTTGCAATGTCCTCTGTTAAAAAATATTATTTCCTTTTATTCTTTTGCAATTGCAGCTAATATAATGTTCTTCCTCTAATCACTATTTGAGTTTTGAATAATTAATATTCACATTTTTATATCTTTATATCAAGCTTTATGTTCTTCAGAACCAAAAAATAAAAGTTAGTAAAATAAACATAAGCTATCTAGACAGCTACCTGGAGAGCAGCTTCTTAATCTGGTTGGGAAAGGTCATTTAAATTTCTTATTTGTCAATCAGTTTTTAAGTGATTTTTAAACCAAAGTATCATACCAAACATAGTTATCACATTTTAATTAAACTGGCTAGTACAAAAACTCTTCACTTGTATGACCTTTTGCACTTGTGACAATATTGTTGTTGTTATTATGTGCTGTCGAGTCATCTGCGACTCATAGTGACCCTATGTACAACAGCCCTAAACCTTGCTCTATCCTGTGCCAATCGCACTGCCTCTGAGACACCCATCCCGATTACCCCAGTCACTGAATCAATCCATCTCATAGAGGGTCTTCCCCTCTTGTGCTGTCCCTCCACCCTCCCAAGCATAATGTCCCTCTCCAAGGACCTGTCCCTCCTTGCAACATGCCCAAAGTATGTCAGATGAAGCCCCAGAATCCTTGCCTCCAAGGAGTAGCCTGGTTTAACCCTCCCCAGGATGAATCTGTTTGTTTTCTTGGCAGTTCAT